TTCAAGATGAATAATACAAGAAATTATTGTTTGGGATTGAATACTGTAAAAATGTTGTTTCTAACAACAATAAGCACTGCAAAGTAGAACTTATTGAAATGGGCAGCCTTCCCACACCTTAACTGAAATCTCTGAACCCATCTTTTATTACAATACTACCCCACAATTTAATAATAAAACCAGTTCAGGTGTTTATATTTGTTAGTGATTTTTATGTACAGATGGTATTCAATTAGAGTGTCAGGTGATTTGAAAATAGGTGCTGCTTAGCATGCTTCAAGTAATAAAAGACAATATAGAAAAATAATTTCAATTATTTTCAACATAGAAAGAGAAATTTGTAATAATTTAGATAGTTGGGTCAGTCATCTTTTCCTCATTTCCTTTAGGTTGTATTTTGCTAAATGTTTTTCTCAAATACCTCACGTACTTTTTTCAATCTCAGACTGAAATATAATGTGGACATTTATTTGAAACTCCTTATATAGCAATAGCAATAGCACTTAGACTTACATACTGCTTTAGTGTGCTTTACAGCTCTCTCTAAGTGGTTTACAGAGTCAGCATATTGCCCCCAACAATTTGGGTCCTTATTTTACCCACCTCAGAAGGATGGAAGGCTGAGTCAACCTTGAGCCTGGTGGGATTCGAACTGCCAAATTGCAGGCAGCCAGCAGTCTGCAGAAGTAGCCTGCAGTACTGCATTCTAACCATTGCGCCACCGAGGCTTATATAATATTGTTAAGCTGTCAGATATACAGGCATTCCTTAATTCAATTTAAAAAAAATAACAGATTGAACAATTTGCTTTATGGTGATATATTTGTAAAGCAGAGACAGGCAATTTTTCATGGCCTGACAAATGCATGTATAGGGACAGCAAAAATTGTTTTTGAAATATGCAGAAATAATTATTTAAAAGGATACCGAGACATACAGAAAGAAAGATAAAATCAGAGTGGTATAGAATGAATAACATTGGTTTTTAAAAATTCTGGTTTTCTCCTCATTTTCAGTGCCAATCATAAAGAATTACAGAGCCAAAATATAGCTGCCTGCTCCTGTATAAAGTAACATAGCAAGTAGAATTGTAGAGAAAATTAGCATTAATATATTGAAATGATGCTTGAACCTGGTAATTTTCCCAAGTGAATGTTGTCATAGAAGTGGGAAAAGGAGTAGCTGACACTGAAAGTGTAGTGAACCATGTGATTTATTTTGCATGTATGCTGGGCCTTCAGGGTGTGTGTGTGTGTGTGTGTGTGTGTGTGTGAGAGAGAGAGAGAGAGAGAGAGAGAGAGAGATTTTTTATACTAGGAGAAAAGCAATATTTTTTATTGCAAGATTCCAAAAGAATTTGTATATAGTAACATTGGGGCCAATACTATCCAAGAAAAAAAAATCCCAATATTTCCATTAGGTGTTTTTGAGGCTGTAGTTCTTTTTAAATGGACTTTTTGAATTCTACACTAGCTACAATAAAACACTTTGGAACTAGACATCTTTTTTCTTAATGCATGCATGCAGATGGCTTAAAAGGTTTCACACAAAGACTAAAAATCCAAAAGCATTTCAGACTGGAAATATTTTGCTTTTGAAATGGTGTGGGAGAGAATTCCCAAAGAGAATTCCTAACGGAATACAAAGAAATCTTGCATGTTAATAAATAAACTAATATAATCAGGAAAGTATGCAATGCAAGTGACTTGGTTAACATGTTAGATTAGGCCCAGGGGGCCAACTCCGCCTTTATTTTCTTAAATCTATTTCAGATGGTTGTTATTGTGGAAAAGATTACAGGAATGAGAACTAATATGCAGACTTGCAATTGTGATGTAAACAGAGGACGTAAAACTGACTAAGTAACTAATTAAAATTAAGAGTTTTGTAAGTCTGGTAATTTAAAGACCAAAAGAGAGAGATGTGAGTTTTTGAATTACACAACATGCATGCTGACTGACCAATGTTTTAAAAAATTATGAAGACACCAGCCTGAACATTGTTGCGTAATAAATATGCTAGCAATTTACACAAATATTTTTTGCTGTCACAATGTAGCAGGCTATCCTTCTAGAATTAGAAATGTGGCTATTTTGGAAGGTCTTTGAAGTTTAATTAGTCTGAGTAGAGCTATTACCAGAATGCATTAATTACTCATTTATTTTTGTCCTAGGTATTTTTGCATAATGCTTTGTTATATTACCTGTAACTATAAACTGTCTGCTCATAAGAAATTGTAGGATTAAAGCAATATAGAAATTTAATACATAAAAATTGCTACATGAGCATCTATAAAATTAGGTACCATCCAGTGTCAGACATTATATTATTAAAATAAGTTACCATGGAGGTTTTAGAGAGTACTTTGGTATATAGGAACACTTATAGACTCAGACCTTTCGTTTATGAATGTCTGACTTAGACTTGGGTGATTTAAAATTGATGTTATTGGACCTCTAAGGAATAGTTAATAGTTAATGCAATAATAATAATAACAGCTACTGCTTTGTTTCATTATTTATTATTAGCAATTGCTGATTATCATAGCCAGTTTGCTACACATTCAGGAATAATATGGCCAGAATGGTAAATACATATTGAGGCTTGCAATAGGTGATGTCTTATTTGGAATCCTGTGAAAATGAGCCATGCATCCATGGTATTGGGTGCATCATACAGGTAGTCCTTGACTTACGGCCACAATTGAGCCCAAAATTTCTGTTGCTAAGTAAGACATTTGTTAAGTGAGTTTTGCCCCATTTTACCACCTTTTTTTGTCACAATTGTTAAATGAATCACTGCAATTGTCAAGTTAGTAGCATAGTTGTTAAGTGAATCTGGCTTCCCCGTTGATTTTGCTTGTCAGAAGGTCTCAAAAGGGGATCATATGACCCCAAGACATCTGCAACCATCATAAATATGAGTCAGTTGCCAAGCGTCTGAATTTTGATCACGTGACCATGGGGATGCCGCAGTGGTCGTAAGTGTGAAAATCGGCCATAAGTCACTTTTTTCAATGCTATTGTAATTTCAAATGGTCACTAAATGAACTGTTGTAAATTGAGGGCTACCTGTATTAGTAAATTAGTAAATTAGTAATTGCTAGTATGGACATTAATAGATACATTAATAAATTAGATCAAAACTAGGAATTGAATTTCTCATAAAATTGAAATACGATCTAGGCATTCAGAAGTGATTCACAGTAAAACTGTGATAAGAACTTTTTGTATCTATTTAATCCATAAGCAATAAAACTCCTAAGTGCTAAGGTGTTTGCTTTGTCTTTTGATGTAGCAGTGAACAAAATTGTGTGTCTCGCTGAGATTACCGGTACTGAGTCTGCTTTTTTATGCTTTGTTGACACACGGCATGACTCTTGATGCAAGAATCTTTGTAGTATACTGGCTCCACTACAAATTTTGTAGGCAGGTAAGTTAATTAAGCAGGCTTCATGGTACATAATGGCAAGTCCCATTTTAAAATGATGCATTCACTACCGAGCTATTGAAAAGGCAGAATCAAGATGATTGATCGCCTAGGGTTTTACTCTAAAGTAACCAAAGTCCTTTTGTCTGCACCAATATATTAGAGATTTTCCAAGGACAGAGCCATTCCCTGATAACATTATCAGGACTTCCTGCTTCCACCCATGAGAGCGCTGTAAGTGCACACTCACCACTTTTATTGATTGTTTGACACTTCTAAAACCAGAAAGCGTGCCCAAAGGTTATAGGAAAGGAAAGCCTGACAAACTGCTCTGGAAGTATGCAGATTAAGATCCGGCCAAATGTTATCAATTAGAATAGAAAAGCAGCATTGATAACAAGTAAATCAGTTTTCACAGAATTTGGAAATCAAAATGTTGGTGAAAAGTTCTTTAGAGCTTAATATAAGAAACTTTAGAGTTTATGTATCTTTTAAAGTTCTGTGTAGAAACTCTTTCTGGCACACACAACGAAGATTGCTTTGATTGCTTTATGGCTGGGGTCCCCAGCCCATGGGCTGTGGCCCGGTGTTGTGCCGCAGCCCATTCAGAACCAGGCCGTGGAAGTGGTGCTCAAGCATGTGTGTGCGAAGCTGCATTTGTGAAAGCGGTGCGTGCATGCACAAAAGCATCCCTTCTCGCCCGCTGCCACCGGTGCTTCCGCCGGTCCGCCGAGCCAGAAAGGTTGGACATCACTGCTTTTTGGGAGTAAAAGGCACAGCTATGCTTTGGAGATAGAATAGGATGGCATGGTCTTATTGTATTTAAAAGTCTTATTGATAAAAGTCTGAACTGTGCAATAAACCTATTGCACATTTCTTGTCCTTCATCAACATCTTTGATAGGACAGCAAGAGTGCAATATAGATCCATAAAATTATGAACATCACTAATAACTGCCCCTAGATCTCAGAATCTGTCTGTCTGATTTAGGTACAGGTAGTCCTTGACTTATATCAGTTCATTTGGTGACTGTTCAAAGTTACAATGGCACTGAAAAAAGTGATTTAAGACCAGTCCTTGGGCTTATTACCATCATAATATCCCTGTGGTCATATGACTGACCGGGCACTTGGCTACCTGCATGTATTTATAATGGTTGCAGCATTCTGGGATCATGTGATCACCATTCGTGACCTTCCCAGGAACCTTCTGACAAGCACAGTTAATGAGAGAATCCAGATTCATTTAACCATATGATTCACTTAATGACAGTGGCAAAAAAAGTCTGTAAAATTATCATGATTCATTTAATGTCCACATCACTTAGCCATAGACATTCCAGTCCCAATTGTGGTTGTAAACTGAGGACTACCTGTAAAGTAAATTAATGTATTTAATCTTTCCCCCTTTTTATCACATTCAAAACTATAATTTTGGTAGCAATTTTGGAGAGGTTTGAAAAAAAGTATCAAAAGCATTTGGAAGTTGCATGTAGCTCTGGGTCCACTCAGATATATGGCCCCTTGTTTTACACCCAATCCCAACTTTCAAGAAATACATTTTCACTTCCGTGCATTTTCAATGTTTTATTGCTTGATTTGAATATTGCTGCAATCTGAATGAAAGTGCTCTCAACAGAAAAAAATAACGGTTTATCTAACAGTTTAACCAGAAACTGTTAACCAGAAAGAAGTGAACATAATGAGCCTCTAAATCGTTTTCTGCAAGCTGAGATTTTCTATAAAGTATACATAAAAGCAGTGAGGCTAAAAGCAGAGTGTTTTAAAAAGATACGGTGCTATCATTTTAATAAAGCAATAGCACAGCGGTTCAACAGTTGCTGTCATAAATGAGGCGACACTTCAGGAGTTTCAGATAGTTGTCAATTTTGTGGGAGTCCCGACGCAAACAGTGCAACAGATTGTAGAAGGCGAAGAGGCGGGAATTTTCGTCAGCCAGTTGGAGGGAAGGGAGACCAGTCCATCTAGAATAGACTTCATTGCCTAAGTCACCTGGGTGAACCTAAGGAAAGTGCAAAATCAAAATAAACTTTAATGATTTCACAATTGCTAAATAAATTTTAGTCATTTTTTAAAGCAGAGACACACACCTTCCATACAAATCCAGTTAGGAAGATAGATGCAGAGCTACACTCCCAAAATGGGTGGGGCCAGGGAAATAGAGGGATTCCTAAGAGCTAAAATGTATTGGTGTTCCCTTCTATTAGATAAAATGTATGCTTTAAACTTGTTCTAGGTTTAAGATAATCGTTTTGCTCCTAAAATATCCCCATCTTTGAACAGATACTATCAGTAGATTACATATACATATCAGAGGTGGGTTTCAGCAGGTTCGGACCAGTTCTGGAGAACTGGTAGCAGAAATTTTTAGTAGTTCAGAGAACCGGTAGTAAAAATTCTGATTGGCCCCGTCCCCATCTATTCTCTGCCTCCCAAGTCCCAGCTGATCGGGAGGAAATGGGGATTTTGCAATAACCTTCCCCTGGATTGGGGAGAGAATGGAGATTTTACAGTATCCTTCCCCTGCCATGCCCACCAAGCCACACCCACCAAGCCATGCCATGCCCACCAGGCCATGCCACGCCCACCAAGCCACACCCACAGAACGGTAGAAAAAAATTTGAAACCCACCACTGATACATATACTGTACATAGTCCTCAGTTAATGACAATAACTGGGACCAGATCCATTGCTAAGTGATTAGTCATGTAAAGGATGATGTCACATGATTGCACTGCTTAGCAATGGTGTGGGTTGTTAAACAAGCCCTAGATGGCTCACAATTAGGCAGGCAGGTAAAGTGCAATGTGCAATGCAAGTGTGGCAGGATTGGGGATGCCTGCTGCTGGGTATAGAGGGTGCATGAATGACTCACAAGGTGTGGCACAAATGCAGCGGGGCCAGGGGCGCCAGCTGCCAAGTGGGGAATGGTGCGAACCATTTACCAGAGTGATTGTGATCTTTCCTACCAGCTTCCCCATTGACTCTTGCTTGAGGCAAGCTGGCAAGAAAGATAGCAAGTGGCGATTGGAGGATACTGCAGCCATCATAAGCACAAACCAGTTGCCGAGCACACAGATCATGACCTCATGACAGTGGGAGTGCTGTGACAGTCAGAACTCCGAGAATCATTTTTAAGTCTCCTTTTTCAAAGTGGTTGTAATTTTGAATGATTGCTGAATGAATGGATAAACAAGATATAGATATAGATATGGAGCTATAGATATAGATAGTATCTGTATCTGTATCTGTATTGGGGTTGGAGGGGAGATATTGTATTTGATTTCACTATAATAAAAGCCTTTGATTGGTGAAAGTAGTCAAGCATATAAGTCTTACTTGTTTACTTTGCAGCTCTAATTTGCAAAGGGCATTCTAATTATCTTGTATATATGTATCTTGTCATGAACTTCTATTACGAAAGAGTGTTTCTTTTGGTGAAATATAAGTAAAAATTTCACTGTTGAATACTAAATTTTCTCAATGCTGCCTAATATCTTTTAACCCATGTAATGTGGCTGTCATATTATTTATACCTTTTATTATCTTCTTTAGTCTCCCTTGGTATCATCATCATCATCATCATCATCATCATCATCATCATCATCGTTGTTGTTGTTGTTATTATTGTTATTATTCTGTTGCTTTGTATATACACTGAGTGCTTTTGTACTAGAGACAAATTCTTTGTCTGTCTAATCACACTTGGCCAAGTAAAGTATTCAATTCAATTCAAAATATCTTGTACCAACATGCACAATGTTCAGACAGTGTTGACCATTAGATTGGGAAAGTTTGCTGTAGATACTATGGTATATCCAACTTTTATCATTTGGCAGTTCAACAGAGGCAACCTAAAAAGATCACCACCAGTCTAAAGGATGAAAACTTTAAATCTACAATTGGAGGGATTATAGGATGAATATTTTAAGATGGAAAAAGAGAAGCATTCTACCTGACGTTGTGTACCTAACTCCAGAAAACAGTAGGGCTTGTCAGGATCCCATCTAGGTATTAGTAATCTAGGACTCATGTGCTAGTGAAACATTGGCCAGTAATGATAATCTGAAATGCTAGAGCATGCAGGCATTTTCAGATTAAGTATTGTAAGCATGACTTGCACTAATTTGCGGATGGAAGGCAGTCATATTAGCCTTCTCCTGGTAGATCAGGAAAACAGCAAATACAACAATATGGTTGTGAAAAAGATTTAGTACCCTTGCTTAGAATGGATTTTAGTGCCCTTGCTCAGAATGGATAGCTGCTTTTTTAGGCGTATTTAAATTTTACATAGAAAATGCTGCCTAGGTGTCTTTCTGTAAAAAGTAACTATTTCAACTGCTGAAAGAAAAGGCAAATAGGAAAAGAAAATGATGGCATGCATGCACCTTAAAATTGCTTAGAAATACTGGTACCTATTTTGATGTCTTTGCTTTCAATTACTGTCCTTTATTTTCACAGTAGATTTTGAATATGACACAATAGAAATTAAAATAATAAATTAATAAGGGGAATTCGGAAACATTCTTGGTTCAAACAAGTGTGGAAAGAAAGAACATAAGCTTAACACTTTTAATGTACAAAGTATGTACTAGATATGCAACAACTTATATTTATTGCCTTCCTTCATGACACAGACTTGCTCGTTCTGTTACTTTTCTAAGGCACATACCTACGTATCGGGTGGGTTCTAAAAATTTTTACTACCAGTTATGTGGGCGTGGCTTATTTTGTGAGCATGGCTTGATGGTCATGTGACAATTATTTAGGATTTAGCAGAGGTACTGGTCTACCAGGCTTTTAACTGCTTGCAGAGCTGTACCGATCTACCCATTTATTTTTGCAGGCATTGGTCTACACATTTATTTTTGCAGGCACTGGTCTACTCATGTATTTTTGCAGGCACTGGTCTACCCATTTATTTTTGCAGGCACCGGTCTACCCATTTATTTTTGCAGGCACCGGTCTACTCATTTGTTTTCTTTTAACACTGATCAGCTGTAGGGCGGCTCTTTGAAGCCCCGCGGCAAGAGTTTAAACAGTTTTTTTCCCTCTAGCCATCAGCTGGGACTCAGGAGGCAGCAATAGATTGGGGGTGGGGCCAAATAAAAGGTAAGAATAACACGGGTGGGTGGGGGGGGGGGAAAGAACCAGGTGGGTGGGGAAGAACCAGTTTGGTGATGTCATATTGTCACCGCTATCGGCTCGGTGGAACCAGGCGGAACCGGGAGGAACCCACCACTGCTGCTTATGTTAAAAAATGTTATTGACTGCTATCAAACAAACTATATGACATATTAAGTTTGTAATGTGCAGCTGATTTTGAGATGTTTGTGAACTAGGCTTTTTTTGTAGTCTCAGCCTGTGTAGAAGGCAAGAGGAAGATTAAATTCCCTCTCTGCAAGAAAGTGTTAAAAAGAAAAAAAAATGATATCAATGAAAGTTATTGTTTTTTCAGCACTTTCATGTGTAGGAGAACAATGTTAATTTTATAAAATATAAGGTAGGAGCAAGTTAAAAGTTCTCCTATGCTGTTTGCTGATTCTCAGTCTAGGTTGGGTCATGTCCTTTTTTTAGTGTTAAAAAAAAATTACAAGATCAGCTTTATGCTTTGTTGTTTGGCACTTTGTAACTTTTTTATTAGTCAAGAACAAGATATTTTGCTGCTACTTATACATGCCAAACAGATCTCCAGATTTGAAAGGTTTTGCTGACACTTTTAACTTCTTACTTTCTTTCTTTGAAGCATTTTAATCCAAACAAACAACAAAAAAATCTGTCTCATTTTATACATTTTGAATAGTGTTATGAAGCTGGAAGGACTTCAGAGGATGATTATTATTTTTTTGACTCACCCGTCCAACTATTCTCTCCATCCCCTCAAGAAGTCGTTTATTTTGCTCCTCAATCTCCATGGCCTTCCAGAGAATGGTATCAGGAGCTTCCTTGATTCGTTCAACTTCAGAGACCAGGTGCAATAAAGGGTCATTCCAGGAACGGAGTACACTCAAAACTAGATTTAATAGGTCCTCGTGCTGTTCATTGGCAACAAAATTGTACAGTTAGTGTGCAAAATCTACACAGCAGATATGGAACAATTTTTAATCAAGCCTACCTTAAAATGTCCTTACTACAATTTTATCCATTTATCAGATATAGCTAAACTACAGGCTGTAGTGCAATTGCGAGGTGTTTTTCTTTTAAATGTAACTAGATAAGAGAATGCCCTAAATATCAGACTCTCAGTAAATTATCTGCCCTGCCAGTAGAAATCACTCCATTCATCTTTGTTGCATAAATGCCTTTTAATCCAGAGATTAGCCTGAGCATTAATGATACATTTTTAGAAATAAGAGATCTAGAAAATATTTGAAGATATAATGGAAGATGTGATCTGTGGTAGGCCACTTAATATCTCATCCTGAAGCATTTATTGTGTCTACATCAAATCCTGCAAACATGCCCAGACACAAGGCTGATTTCAAGTGTTTTGCTTCTGGGAAGATTTCTTTTCTTTTGAAACTTTGCCACTGCTTGAGGTGAGCTGAAAGATCAAAGGGCTCTTGGCTTTCCGGGGATCCTCCTAGTCATTGTGCCTGTCCTTGAGACCTCTCCAGTGTTGACACGATCACTTTTCACTTTCCTTACCTACATCCCCCAAAAATGCATCTATTCTGTGGCATAAATTTCCTCCTGTTCTCTTGGGAGAATTGCTATTGTGCTACTATATTGAAAGGCTCAAACATCCCAAGTACCCCGTGCAAACACAGATAAATGCCAGACACATACATATCTCAAATATTTGTGGCACATGTTTTGCTTTCTAAAAAGGGAGATTATTCAATGGATGAATGGCATTTGAAATTGAATCAATAGGAATGGGCTCTCGAGCGATACCTTAGCATTCCAAAGATTTCCTCATCAAGTGCATAGAGGAGAAACTTTCTTTAAAATGCGATTATTCAGTAAGGTGTGTTTTATTTCCGAAACTGGAACATTGGGGAAACTTGCGTGTGATCAAGAGATCATTGCAATAGAGTTCTAGCCCCTGACCTTTTAGAATTATTTTTTCCATTTTTGGCAGATGCATTTTTTTTTCTCCTGCTAGGGACTATTTCATCTATAGTCTACTGTTTTCTTCATACAAAAATACCATCTCCCCATCTCTCCTTAGGACAGTTAAAGGAGATGTGCTTTCATCAACCTTCCCTGGATTTTTCCAGCCTTGTGAAAGACCGAACTTGTTTTGTATTGTGAACGTATTGTCTTTCTTTTTCGTTCATGTAGGTCAGAGCATGCTTCTGTGTTTTGTGCTTTGCTGACCCCTACCACTTACAGAGGTGGAGCAATGGAGAGCTGCCCTTTTATAACTCCATCTATGGTAACTGTATGCTTTTGAAAGGATTTCATCAGATTTCTGGTGAACTTGCTCGCATCTGTCAACAAACGAAGACAACTTACATGTATCTGCTGAGCTTGTTCTTTATCTTCAGGAGTGGTTAGGGAAGAAGTATGGCAGCTGTTAACGGCCCTTGCAATGAAACCCCGGCCCTGAGCATAGCGTTCATCCTGACAGTAAACAAATATGACATTTAGTGAAGTAGATAACCAGGATTTTGGGGGTGGGGGGATAGACTGTTTTTTTGGTTTATTCATTGGTTGCCTTGTAAAATGTATCCTAGAGTTATGGAGGGCATTAATTTTGTCTCCCAACCTTACTGCATGGCTTAGTCAAAGGTGATCTGCCTCTATGTATACTGTGAAAGGAAACCAGTTTTAAGCATCATGTTTTCCCATATTAACAAAAGCTTCTTTATGGTATAAAGTGGCCCACCTCCCACATTTCCTCAGAGAGTATATTTTCTGTCCTACTCCAAAATAGCTTTTTTGCATGCATTTAGTTACTTTTCTCTGAGCAAATCTTTCACTTGGACATTTGTTACTTAGTCTTGCACGTTTTCATTTTGTTACTTTAAATGACTTCTGTGTACAGAAGACAATGTTTTCTTTCTTCCACATCCTTTGTTGAGGTTCAGTTCCCCAGGGTAGATGAAGCTTTCGCTACAATGGATCTATTAATGAGACTTTAACTATCTGCCCAATCCCATTTCCTAGACTTGCGCCTTAAGAAATAATAAGACATCTAACTTTAAAAGGAATAGAGGTGAGCTTGTTTCACTGAGGAAAAGTGTATTAGCACAGACTCTGAAAACTCTGTTTCTTATATCTTCAATTTGAAGATATGAAACATAATATCTTGTTGGTTCCAATCTAGAAATCCACTCAAAACAGGGGTGAAATCCAGCAGGTTCTGACAGGTTCTGGAGATTCTGGTAGCGGAAATTATGAGCAGTTTGGAGAACCGGTAGCAGAAATTTTGAGTAGTTCGGAGAACCGGCAAATACCATCTCTGGCGGGCCCCAGAGTGGGGTGGAAATGGGAATTTTTCAGTATCCTTCCCTTGCCATGCCCACCAAGCTATGCTTACCACACCACGCCCACCAAGCCACGCCCACAGAACCAGTAGTAAAAAAATGTGGATTTCACCACTGACTCAAAAGCTTGTGTAAAGCTTACTTTATTATGGGGCTTTGATAACTTTTCCACAAATACAGGGAGTCTTCCACTTACAACCACAATTGAGCCCAACATTTCTGTTGCTAAGCGAGACAGTTGTTAAGTGAATTTTGCTCCATTTTAGCAATAGTAATAGCACTTAGACTTACACAGTGCTTTCCAGCCCTCTCTAAGTGGTTTAGAGTCAGCATTTTGCCCCCAACAATCCAGATCCTCACTTTACCGACCTCAGAAGGATGGAAGGCTGAGTCAACTTTGAACTGGTGAGAATCAAACCCTTGGAGTAAGCAGTGAGTTAGCCCTACAATACTGCCTTCTGACCACTGCGCCACCATGGACCTTTTCTGTCACAGTTGTTAAGTGAATCACTGCAGTTGTTAAGTTAGTAATACTGTTCTTAAGTGAATCTGGCTTCCCTATTAATTTTGTTTGTGAGAAGCTCTCAAAAGATGATCACATGATCCCAGGACACTGCAACCGTCATAAATATGGATTGGTTGCCAAGCATCTGAATTTTGATCACAGGGGATGCTGCAACAGTCGTGAGTGTGAAAAACAGTCATAAGTTATTTTTTTTTCAACGCCGTTATAACTTCAAACTGTCATTAAACAAATGGCTGTAAGTTGAGGACTACCTGTAGTTTAAGAATCTTTTAATTTCAATAAGCAATAACATTTGCCTGGTACAACCTAGCAATAATAAAGGCGACCTTATGAAATTATATTTCCATATAGATAATAAAACACTGAGCCAATGCTTTATATTTTACCCATTGTGAAACTGAACTTGAAGAAATAAGAAAACTATGATTAAAAAAATAAAAATGCCCTTCACAAAATACTGGTAGCCAACCTGAGGACATTCAGATGTTACTGATCTACAATTCCTGGCAAGTGCAGAAAGGATTATAGTTGACAAGGGATGCCTGGAGTTGTTGTTTAGGAACACATGGTTTAGCCTCTGCTACAGAATTAGTTTTTTCCTTATGCCAAAATACTTACAAATTCATTGAATATTTCAGTAGACAGAGAGTGGATATAATGGGATAGTTTAACAGCCCGGTCAAAAAGGTCCCCAAGAGAAACCTGGCAATTGTCGGACCCATTAGGGCAAATGGGTGAAGATGTTACACACTTCCTTGAAAGGAACATATTAGCTAGCAGCATGGTGGCTAGAAACAGGCCTTGAAGACAAAAAGAAAAAGGCAGATACCCGTAAGATGAAATAAATCAAGAAAAGAAAACACTCTATTTGGTATTCCATGACCTCTTACTTTAATGCTTGATTTGTTAAATAACCATATGTGAGGAATTCAGCCTTTTCACCTTAGCAGAGATAGGATATAAACTATGTAATAACAATAATCATAGCAACAATAAGTGTAAAAAGAGTGGAAGTGTAGTTAAACCCCTTTCCTTTATAGCTGTTTCCAAGAGTGACTTCCTTCTTGACAAACATATGGTTTTAAAATTAAATTTGAGGGAAGGTAAATAGGTCACAATCTAGATTTTTGATTGTCTTGGGGTGCTGCCTGCAAATTTTCAGCAGCTGTGCTGTTTAAGGTCTTTGGCGTGAATAACTTTTACAGAGAGTTGGTGCTGAATATCTGGAGAGCCAAAGACCTCTTGAGATTATGTCTGATATAAAACCTGTAAAATTAATTACTGATAAATCAGTACATTGATTAGACAATGCCCTATGCCCTGTTTTGTTTTTACAAAAGCAAATGACTGTGCTAAGAGCATGTACCAAATAAATGAAGTTTATGTTGGCAGAAACTAAATTTGATTTCTTGGGAAAAATTACAGTCTAGTGGCGCAGTAGATCCTGAGCATACAGGAAATCCCAGGAGTCAGACTTTTGCACTTCCCATTAGATAAATCATACATAAGAAATCAAAAAGATTTCAGTCTTACACTATGCAGCCCCATACCCAGTAGACGAAGTTGCTTCCCTGAACAACAAATACATGGTAATTTTCCCTGTTCTGAATTCAGTACTTTATACATTGACTTGCATTCTAACATGTTTTTTTCAATACCCAGCATTGTGACTATTGTATGAAACTGGTCCTGGACCTTGCTTTGGAAAACCTTCTGTAGGAGTAGTGAGTCCAAAGTTTAGTTATATCCAAACTGCAGCAATGGTGTAGCATCTTTATTGGAGCTAGTTGAACCTCTAAGTTTCCAAATCTCGTTGCTTCTAGGTCCAGTGGTCAGGAACGGGTTACTCTCACTACAATCTACTTGATTGAGTCTGCTAAACTGAGAAGCTCCGCCCCTCTGCCTTGCTTCCCAGCTTTCTGACTCAATCCGATTGAGAAAGACACGTTTGAGCTGAGCTCCTGCAAAAGGAAAAGATTTGGAGATTTCTTCCTCACACAGCCTCCCAGATCAGCTTGGTGAGCATTCCAGCGAGAAGGGCTTTGTACCCGAAACCACTGAAGGCCATTTTTTTGGTTTGGTTGGGGGCTGGAGGTTCCTAGCTGGTTGAGCCTGGCCCTCTGAGCAGCGCAAAGGGCTAACCCTCGAAACCGCTGTTAAATTAGCATGAGGGGAGACCTTTCAGGGTGCCCCTAAAGGAGTCCTTACAGCCTTCCGCTTGAATTGCGAGAGCCTCTCCCTGAAAAGGAGAATTTCATCGCTGGTGAGTGCGAGGGCGCCCTTGTGAAGTCAGCGGCGCCGGAGGCTCCATTTACAGCCGCAACTTGGCGGGTGGCTTCTAACGGCGTGGAAGGCTTCGGGAGCGTTTTTGGACTCCTTGGGTGGGCCAGTTCGGCTGGTCTTCTCCCTTTCTGGCAATATCACCTCATCTAAAGGTACTCGCAGGGGGGTTGTTTGGGCTCCTTGCTGGACGCCATTTGCAATTCTTCCGGTGGCCATTTTGAAGCGACCGCATGGCTGGTAGAGGCCTAGTTTCGGAGTTCTACAGCTCCCTACTCTTGATGGCAGCTGTTGCCCTTGAGGCACGGGATTTTTATGCGGAGCTTACTCCTGCTATAGGGTGGCAATTTTATCTGGAAGTTGGCAGTTCCAGTTTATATTACGCCTTCGAGGTATATTCTAATGGCTGCCCTTTGTTCCTAGCTCCATGATGGCTTCTCAGTGTTCCTCCAGGGCCACTAAATAACGCCTTCAGGGTGAAGAGTCCCAGGGATCATCTTCTGTCCCCACAAACAGGAGCAGGAAGTCTCACCACTCTACCAGCTCCCCTAAGGCCTCTCAGTCATCATCTGCCTTAGCTAAAGAGGAACTTAAACTCCATAAAGCCATAGAGAAGGCCGTATAAAAAGCCACCAAGGCTGCTTCTGTACAGGAAAAGGTCACTCCAGGTCCTCCTACTGTTCTGCATGCTGCATCCCCTCATCCCAGGGATGCTTCTCCTTTGCCTCAGGCAACCACAACCCCTGCCTTATCCCTGGATGGGGTCCCACCCTTAGTAGAGGGACAAACTACAGTTGATATCACATTGTTTGGGGAGCAATCTGAGGCCCCTCCCAATCCTGTCCCTTCTGAAAGCAGGGTTGATCCATGGCTCAGGGCCGTTGGACCAGGTCCGACCTGGAACACAACATAAATTGGTTATAGCTCCGGGCCATCCATCTGACCCTACGGGTCTTTGCCCACAAGGTCCAGGACAGGCACATTCTGGTCAGGACCGACAATGTGGCAGCCAAAGCCCATGTAAACCGCCTGGGGGGACTCGGTCCCAGCCCTTCATGGAGGAGGCTGAGAGACTGGGAGCATGGGCAGAGACTCATCTGAGGTCCCTTCGGCCCTCACATATTTCGGGGATAGCGAATTCCCAAGCGGACTGGCTCAGTCGGGCCACAGTGGATCCAGGGGAATGGTCCCTGGACCAGGACATGTTCACAGAGATCACGTCTCTCTTCGGGACTCCAGTCGTGGACCTCTTTGCCACTCGACACAATCGTCAGACTTGGAGATTCTTCTCCCGGTTCCCGGATCCAGAGGCAGAAGGCGTGGACGCTCTGCACAGCAACTGGCCTCCCGGACTTCTGTATGCCTTCCCACCTCTGCCCCTCATAGCCAAAGTTGTTCGGAAGATGCTACAAGAGAAGGCGGATCTGCTGCTGATCGCACCCCATTGGCCTCGTCGACCTTGGTTCGCGGACCTGAGGGCTCTTTCCATTCACCATCCATGGCATCTTCCTCCAGACAAGCTGGTACTGCGTCAAGGGTCTCTCCTTCATCCAGACGTTGGCTGGCTACAACTAACCGCCTGGAGGTTGAGCGGAGCCTGCTGAGAGAACGAAGCCTGCCCTCCAATGTCATCACGACCATCCAGGCAGCTCATCGTCCTTCGACGACTCGCATTTATGACTCCACATGGCGTACCTTTTCTTACTGGTGCCAGCGCAAGTCCATTGTCTCCATGGCGGCCTCCACGGAACAGGTTCTGGTGTACCTCCAAGAACGATTGGATACGGGTTTGGCTCCAAACACTCTCCGCAGGCAAATAGCTGCCCTTTCATCTATTCTTTGTTGTGGGTCCAGGGGATCTCTCTCCAGTCGCCCCCTCATTAGGCAGTTTCTTAAGGAGGCATCTAACATCCGCCCGGCACCCATTCATCGGTAGCCTACATGGGATCTGCCCAAGGTACTTGACGCACTCACGAAAGCTCCATTTGAGCCCCTTCGGGAGGTGGGGTTGCGTTTTCTATCCTATAAAGTGTCATTCCTGCTGGCCGTCACTTTGGCCAGGTGGGTATCAGAATTAGTGGCACTTTCTACTTGGGCTGACCTGTGTATCTTCCACCCGGATAGAGTAGTGCTCAGGTTGGATCCTACCTTTCTCCCTAAGGTCAACTCCCCTTTCCACCGATCCCTGGAGATCATCCTTCTGGATTTCTGTCCCAATCCGTCCCATCCCCTGGAACGGGCGTGGCACACACTAGATGTCAGGCGTGTCCTCCACATTTATCTTAAGAGGACATCTCCCTTTAGACAATTGGAATCCCTCCTGGTTTCCTTCCAACTTCCTCCCTGGGCAGAAATGTCTCCTCGTCCACCCTGGGTCGATGGATCAGGGCTACCATCGCCAAGGCATATGAGGCTCAGTCCCTCCCTGTCCCTTGTTGCATTACGGCCCACTCCACTCAGAGTGCGGCCACCTCAGTGGCTTGGGCCACCCAGGCTTCACTAGAGGAGGTCTGTCGGGCAGCCGCCTGGGCTTCCCCTACTCCATTCATTTGACATTACCGCCTGGATCGGTTTGCCTCCGCCGACGTGGCCTTTGGCCGCAGGGTGTTGCAACAAGTACTCAGGGAACGGGCCTCCACTCCTCGGGCGGGTCTCTCCCTATAAGGCCTATGCTTTGGCATGTCCCGTTCCTGACCACTGGACCCAGAAGCAACGAGATTGGGCGTTGACTTACCTGAACGCTTCATCTGGTTGCTCTGGGTCCAGTGGTCAGCCCCTCTCTGTTTTTTGACCCTCGTCAGTTCGGCCCGCTTGTCGGTTGCTTTTCCTTCTATTGCAGCTCCACGTGTCTGTCTGCTGTATCGTATTTCATCTGAAAGCTGGGAAGCAAGGCAGAGGGGCAGAGCTTCTCAGTTTAGCAGACTCAATCAAGTAGATTGCAGTGAGAGTAACCCGTTCCTGACCACTGGACACAGAGCAACCAGATGAAGCATTCAGGTAAGTCAACGCCCATTCTCTTTTAAAATGCAAAGAACGGAAAGGAGCTATTGCCAAACATAATTAAATTCTATAAAGATTGATTGATATTTTTTGTGCCATGGAGTTGGTATCATAGATAGATTTTTCTTCTTGACAATCCTCCTCTAACCTGATTTTGATTGTCTTCCAATAGTGCACCCCTTGTCACTGTAACTTGAGTCCATCAATCTCACTGCAAATTGCAATATTTTCAGGATTTAATTCTATGGACACCTACATGGAGCAAATTACATTGAATACACTATAATATATGATACCAACATACACAAGTCTTTAATATTTTGGTAGCCTGAGGAAAGCATGTTATCATATGAGGCAGGTTGAGCATAATCTTATATACAATATTCTATGTAGGTGCTCCATTAGCTTTTAATTAGATTAATGTCTGATTGATCATTCATAGGTTTGCACTTTATTTTGGCTAGAGTGGTCCAGAAAAGCAGCACTGTTAACAATTTTATTTTTAAATAAATTGAAAGCACTGACAACGTCTGATACTCTCTTTAGTATAGAACAGCGGTTCTCAACCTGGGGGTTGCGACCCCTTTGGGGGTCGAACGGCCATTTCACAGGGGTCACCAAAGCCCTCTCTCGCCCCCCTCCACACCTTCACTCACCCTCTGCCTCTGTTGGATCGCCCGGTCACCGTTCGCTTACTCCGCCCACTCCCAATCTATTGCTGCCTCCGGAGTCCCAGCTGATGGCTAGAGGGAAAAAAACTTTAAATTCTTGCCACAGGGCTTCAAAGCGCTAGCTGCAAAGAGGTAAATTCCTGGAGGAAATTTTTTTTCCCCTAGCTGTGCTGAAAAGCGAAATTGAAAGTAAAGAGGGTCTTTGCTGCAACGTGACAAAATGAGGCAGGCAGATTTCTTTTCTTTTTCCTCACCAAAAAAGGTAGGTGCAAACTACCTTTAGTGGAAAGGTAGTTTTCCCTAAAGAGGTAGTTCCTCTTTAGGGAAAAAGAGGAGAGTTCAAGATTTTAAAACACAAAAGAAAAAAAGCTCTATTTAAATAGGGAATTGTAATAATTGAGATACTATTAATTGTATATTGTGTTGAAAGCAGAAATGGTTAAATTGTGGTTTGGAGGAATATATGGGGGAAATTATTTGGTTTATTATTATTGGTAAATGTAATTAATTGATTTGTAAGAAATTGGATTGCATGGAAATAATTGGAATATTCATGTTCATATTGATTAATATACAAAAAAGATAGTTATATAACTAATTGATTTATATTAAAATGTTGAATTTATATTAAACAACTGTAATATTACATAATTAACCAATGTGAGGATGGATATAAAAATAGATGACAATGAGAAGGGGTATAATATAGAATAGAAGGGAAAAATTGAATTTGATTAAGATTAGAGATGAGGATGAAGGGTAATATTGTTTTTTTTAAAAAAAAATAGATAAGGAATAAATATGGCAAAAAGAAAATATAGAAATTGTAAATTTAATTGAAATGACTAAACACTGTTTAAATTTGTGAACTGGCCAAATACTCTGTTCAAAGAAAATACATTGTATGTTTGTATGTGTGTTTCTAATTACTGCTATTTATTCATATTTATTCTCTTTTATTCTTTAAAGTTTAACAATTCATTCTTTATCTTAATATCTTTATATTTGTTTGGGGTTGGCTTTCTTCCCTTTCATCTTTTTTACTGTACAGCAATCTTTCTCCTCAAATCTACCACCTCTCTCTTTTCTTTCCTTCTTACTTTCTCTTCCCCCCCTCTTCTCCTCCTCCTCTCTTCCTCCCTCTCTTACCCTCACTCTTACTCTAATTTCCCTTCCCTTCCTCCCTTCTCTTCCTTCCCTGTCTCTCCTTCTTTCTTCCATCTCTCTTCTCCTTCCTTCATCCCTCTCTATTGCTGTATCCTTTTGTGCATATGGATTACTCAGAGGGCTGAAAAAGTTATTTTTGACCGGACCTCGCACTTTTGACCAGTCCTCACACTTACAACTGTACTCACGTTTTATGTTTTGCGCCCTATCTTGTCACTGTGGTGAAGACAAGTAGTGGTGAAATGACTGACACAGTTGTTAAGAATGCCGCAACGGGCATAAATGTGAGGAAGGTCATAAGTGCGAGGACCGGTCAAATATGTGAGGACCAGTCAGAAATGACTTTTTTCAGCCCTCTGAATAGTCCCTATGTGCATATGGACTAGTCAGAAGGCTGAAAAAGTTATTTTTGACCGGTCCTTGCACTTTTGACCAGTCCTTGAACTTACGACTGTCCTCACATTTTACGTTTTACGCCCCATCTTGTCACCATGGTGAAGAGAAGTAGTGGTGAAATGACTGACACGGTTGTTAAGAATGCCGCAATGGGCATAAATGTGAGGATGGTCATAAGTGCGAGGACCAGTCAGAAATGACTTTTTTCAGCCCTCTGAGTAGTCCCTATGCACATAGCCACGCCCACCCGGTCACATGACCAGCTAGCCACGCCCACCCGGTCACATGACCACCAAGCCACACCCCCAACTAAGCCACGCCCACAGAACCGGTTGTTAAAAATATTGAATCCCACCACTGATTACATAATTACATAAGTAACCAATGTGAGGATGGATATAAAAATAGATGACAATGCGAAGTGGTATAATATAGAATAGAAGGGAAAAATTGAATTTGATTAAGATTAGAGATGAGAATGAAGGGTAATATTGGTTTTTTTTAAAAATAGATGAGGAATAAATATGGTAAAAAGGAAATATAGAAATTGTAAATTTAATTGAAATGACTAAACACTGTGTTGGAAGAAATATCCTTCTGGGTTCTGCTCCAAGTGGGGAAAAAGACACTGGAAACATGGAGACTGCTTGGAAAGATGGTTTAATGGTGGACAGGATCACATGGCTTGAGTTCCTGAACAGAAAAGGGGCAGATACAGTAAATCCTCGGGTTTTTATGCTCTCTCTGGGTTTGCATTTCTTGGGGCCCGAAAGAGTATCCTGATTGGTTGTCAGATTCCCAGGGGGTGGGGGTCTTAGCTAGCCTTGCTGGCTGATGATCACATGTGCTTCCCAGGTCACATGCTTCCCAGGTCACGTGTGGTGAGTTTCGGTTGCTATTGTGTTGCAAATGTCCTTTGACAAAGGATTGACTTTCTGCCTCTGGCCCATCAACAAAGGGTGGGGGGCAGGAAGGTGGGAGCTGCTTTGTCTGTAAAATATGCTTCTCCATTTCTCATCCAGGGAAATATAATATTCTGCCTTTTGAATATTTCCCAAAATATTTCATTCTTCTAGGAAAGGGGTGGGTGCTAACCTCCTACAACTGTTTAAATTTGTGAACCAGCCAAATACTCTGTTCAAAGAAAATACATTGTATGTTTCTTTGTGTGTTTCTAATTATTGCTATTTATTCCTATTTGTTCTCTTTTATTCTTTAAAGTTTAACAATTCATTCTTTATCTTAATATCTTAATATTTGTTTGGGGTTGGCTTTCTTCCCTTTCATCTTTTTTATTGTACAGCAATCTTTCTCCTCAAACCTACCACCTACCACCTCTGTCTTTTCTTTCCTTCTTTCTTTCTCTTCTCCCTCTCTTCTTCTTCTCCCTACTTCCTCTTTCTTTCTCCTTCTCCTCCTCTCTTCCTCCCTCTCTTAACCGTCACTCCTACTCTAATTTCCCTTCCCTTCCTTCATCCCTCTCTATTGCTGTATCCTTTTATGCATATGGACTATTCAGAGGGCTGAAAAAGTTATTTTTGACTGGTCCTCGCACTTTTGACCAGTCCTCGAAACTTACAACTGTCCTCACAATTTACGTTTTTGCCCTATCTTGTCACCATGGTGAAGAGAAGCAGTTGTGAAATGAGTGACATGGTTGTTAAGAATGGTACAATGGGCATAAATGATGACCAGTCATAACTGCGAAGACCGGTCAAAAGTGCGAGGACCTGTCAGAAATCACTTTTTTCAGCCCTCTGGGTAGTCCTTTTGTGCACAGGGACTACTCAGAGGGCTAAAAAGTTATTTTTGACTGGTCCTCGCACTTTTGACCAGTCCTCGAATTTACGACTGTCCTCACATTTTACGTTTTTTGCCCATCTTATACCTTGTTGAAGAGAAGCAGTTGTGAAATGAGTGACATGGTTGTTAAGAATGCTGCACAGGCATAAATGTGAGGATGGTCATAAGTGTGAGGACCAGTAACAAGTGCGAGGACGTGTCAGAAATGACTTTTTTCAGCCCTCTGAGTAGTCCCTATACACATAGCCATGGCCACCTGGTCACATGACCAGCTAGCCACGCCCACCCAGTCACATGACCTCCAAGCCACACCCACAAAATAAGCCATGCCCACAGAACCGGTAGTAAAAAAATTTAGAACCCACCCCTGGTTGGGGGTCACCACAACATGAGGAACTGTATTAAAGGGTCGTGGCATTAGGAAGGTTGAGAACCACTGGTATAGAATAATGCTAAACTATGGATATAATCCATTCCTTAAGGACATAATGTGGTCTTGTGGACTTACCATTCATTTTATAGGATTTCCACAAGTTCTTAAGTTTAGCTTGCATAGCTGATTGTGAAATGCTTAATTTTTATCAGTCAAAAATGTGTTGTTACTTGTTTACAAAATTGCTCTTATTCAGAAAAAACATAGAAAAGAATAATAAATAAGACATACCTTTCAATGAAGTCTTCCTGTTGGTCATAGCAGAAACCATCTCTGCAACTGTGCTTTGTCAAATACGCGATGGGAATTTTGATTTTTGTCACCTGAAGACTCCATTTTTATATACACCTTGATGACAAACTTGCATAAATGTAGTAGATTTTGTTTTCTCTTTGCTGATCACTCTAGCTCAGATTAAAGTTCATAATTATAAACATCAAATCACTCCTATTACACTATTCATTTTAGTAAAAGTTTATGGGTGCCTGATTGAGTTGGTTACAAGAGGATAGATAGATAGATAGATAGAGAGATAGACAGACAGACAGACAGACAGACAGATAGATATTTTATTTTATTTTATTTTTTATTTTATTTTTGGATTTATATACTGCCCTACTCCCGGAGGACTGAGGGCGGTGAACAGCCAAAAAATAAAACACACATAATACAAAATTTAAAAAACCATATAAAAACACATTAAATAATTTGGCCCATACAGATTAATACACAATACCCCTATTTAAAACAATACCCCTATTGTTTTAAAACAAATTTAAAATTAACAATTAAGAGGAAGTTAGGCCAGGCCAGCCTGTTGAAATTAAAAGGTCTTGAGGGCACGGCGGAAAGTGTGTAAATCCAGGATCCTCCATATCTCTGGGGGAGCTCGTTCCAAATGGCAGGTGCCCCCACAGAGAAGGCTCTCCCCCTGGGGGCCGCCAGTCGACACTGTTTGGCCGATGGCACCCTGAGGAGCCCCTCTCTATGGGAGCATACTGGCCGGTGAGAGGCTACTGGTGGCAGAAGGCGGTCTTGTAAGTACCCAAGTCCTAAGCCATGGAGCGCTCTAAAGGTGGTAACCCAAACCTTGAAGCGCACCCGGAAGACCACCGGGAGCCAGTGCAGCTCGCGCAGGAGAGGTGTTACATGGGAACGCCACGTTGCTCCCATAACCACCTGCGTGGCCGCATTCTGGACCAGTTGGAGCCTCCGGGTGCTCCTCAAGGGGAGCCTCATGTAGAGAGCATTACAGTAGTCCAGGTGGGAAGTGACAAGGGCATGAGTGACCGTGCGTAAGGAGTCCTGATCCAGAAAGGGACACAACTGGCAGATCAGGTAGATAGATAGATAGATAGATAGATAGATAGATAGATAGATAGATAGATAGATAGATAGATGATAGATAGATAGATAGATAGATAGATAGATGAGAGAGAGATAGAGAGAGAGATAGAGAGAGAGATAGAGAGAGAGAGAGAGAGAGAGATAGATAGATAGATAGATAGATAGATAGATAGATAGATCCACACAAATACAGAAACCATTTCAAATTATAACTGATCTTGATTTTTCTAGATTCATTAACGTGTTCACAATGATCAGAAATGAACTTTATATATTGCCAATATAGGAATAACTGTGAAAAAAGGAAAACAGTGATATATAATATACAGCACACTTGATCATGAAGGTTGAGATTCAAGATGGGGAAAAAAACTTTGACAAAATGTCCTGATCATTTTGATCATTGAAATGATTGGATAATTTCATAACTTGCTAAGATACGTTTTGAGAAAAGAGTATTTTATCTGGACAATAAAACTTGCTCTCTTTGATAGGGTGTATACATTTCTTAAATATAAATTTAGAAAAAGACTATTATTAATATGTAAGAAAAAATGAGAAGCAGAAAATTTTAAGAGATGATTTAATCATCTCTGTATGGGCAGTTTGTCTATGTCAGAGCTGTCATGTGCAGATGCGTCACGTGCTGGCCACACCCACGCCCGGTTTAGCGAAGGGGGAAAAAGTCCCAATACATCACCTGATGCTGCCGTGACGACATGAGTTTGACACCCCTGGTCTATGTATTATGTGTTTTTGTGTGTGCAGTAGTGTAGCCATTCTAACTCCTACTCTACATTCTTTTGCAGGTTCTGACCATGTTCTGGATATTGGTATGGGAAAACAAAGGAGAATAAAGCAAAACAATTGAACAGGACTTTTAATGGATACATGAAAAGAATCACTTGTTTCCTCTGGTACATTAAAAGCAAGTAAACAAAGGAGAATCTTTTGGTCAACCAGAAGACATGTTAAAAGATTCTCTCCCCTTGTCTTTCCCTAGCAGTCTATGAAACACATTGACAGGAGCAGAGAAAAGAAACCGTGAGCTTATCTACCTCAGGTAGTTTGTATTATGAACTCAGCCTCACATACTGCATACCAAGGCATGAGGAAGCCCCATTCAGGTTAAGGACATGAAACCACAAACTCATCTTCAACTTGGCTCTGGCTACTAAAAGGGCAGCCTCCACTCCTTGATTGTGGTATTAAAAAAAAGTATTATGGTTTACAGTACCCTCCACACCTTGGTACTGCTGTTCACCTCTATGACTTTGCTGTAGAATGTTGCCATAAGTGTACAATGTTCAGGGAGCATGATGGCTCAATTGTTAAAGATGCTGAGATTGTCAGCTGAATGGCTCGAGTGCTATGCAATGGGTTGAGCTCCCATTTTTTGCCCCAGCTCCTGCTCATCTGGCAGTTCGAAAGCATGCAAATGCAAGTAGATTAATAGGTACCATGGTGGGAAGGTAACAGCATTCTGTGCACCTTTGGTGTATAGATATGCGAGCCACATGACCACAGAAAATTTATTTATTTATTTATTTATTTATTTATTTATTTATTTATTTATTTATTTATTTATTTATTTATTATTCGTATTTCTATGCTGCCCACTCTCCGAGGACTCTGGGCGGCTTACAACAAAGACAGTATACTAAGTAGAATATTGCCCCCAAAAATCTGGGTCCTCATTTTACCCACCTCAGAAGGATGGAAAGTTGAGTCAACCTTGAGCCGGTGAGATTTGATCCGCTGATCTGCTGAACTAGCTGTCAGCTGAAGTAGCTGCAGTACAGCACTCTAACCACTTCACCACCTTGGCTCTTACTAAAATGTCTTCAGACAATGCTGGCTCCATTGTCTAAGAGCATCACCCTCTAAAGTCGGACATGACTGGATAGGCAAACCTATACCTTATAGAATGTTCTCCTGGAAAGCTGCCAGATCATAGTTCTACTGCAGAAGCCTGTAATGAAACCATGGGCACCCGCTTCACTATGGACAGCTTTGCTATAGCAATGCTGCAGAAGTGGTTGGCAGCCCCCTAATGAAGATGCCCACAGCTTCACAACAGCACCATAGGGTTGCTGGAGAAGAGCTGCAGCCAGCAGCCCCACAGTGAAGATGAAGAGAGTAGCTAACTTTACCATGGGACTATCAATGCAGAGAAACTTCCATCCCATTTTTTGCGCTATGGTCGAGAAAAGGGAAAAAAAGAAATGAAATGGGCAGCTATATAAATTGCTTAAAATAAATAAGTAAATTGACAGAAGACATGTTTTTCCAATTATTTTCCATACTAATGAAAACATTGGGAGAGAAGGGGGAAAGTTGACCCTTGGGATTTCTGGTGTCCATTGTTAGCACCAAAGGAGATGTGTACCCCCGATGCCATCTCTCCTCCCCACACCTCTAGTATAGACATTGCCAGAACCTCTATTGTACTCTAAAGGTGACATAGTTCTTTGTGGACCCCCATACTGAATAAACAACATTTTGTTGCTCTCTTGCAACAAAATCTTCAGTCTAACACTTATGCTGTTTTTTTTAAAAAAAACCCGAAAATGGACAACGTTATTTCAGTCTAGAAACAGTATCTGTGGAAAGCCTTTGACACTTTACTCTAGAAAATGGTGAAAAACCACTTAAGTATTAAACCAAATGTGCTTACGAAGACTCTGCTAAGGCTCTAAAGCTCTTGCTGTGAACCCTTCGTTTTCTTTTTAGTTCAAACTTTTATTAAAGGTACAAAAGCAAATCATTATATTTCAGATAGATCATTTGAAACTCTTCACCTGGAATGTTATCCTGAAATATGGCTGTAGGGAATGAATTATGGTCTATGTTAAACTGGGTTAGAATAAAGAACATTAACGCTGGTGGAATATTTGAAACATTTTGTGTTTAGTTGCCAAGTATCAAGCTTCCATTTAATTGTTTTTCTCTTCCTACTTTGTAACCTCGTCATGTAAGTCCATTGCCTATGAAACAGTTTTGGAAATTAAATGAATAAGGAATAATTTTTAATGCATTTTCCAAACTTCAGATAATTTAATGAATATTTTCACTGAAAACTATGTTGTAGTCATGTACAGCACCCCAGATCCTTATCTGTTTTGTAATTGTTTGCGTCAGTGGAGTTTGAAGTAAAATGGGACAAGGAAATGATCTTTTCAGGGCAAAATAGAGGGGACAATGATGGCTGAAGTTATGTGGTAAAACAGAATTTGAGCCACAGTATATTATAATATTAAAAAAGGGACCTCATATTGATTTTGTTATATTATGAGGTGATAACTAGAAAGAATCATAATATGTTATATTATCAAATGGAAAACAATTACAGAATGAAACAATTCACAATGACTTTATTTTATTTGTATAAGATTATAAAATATAAACAGAATATCAAACAATAAAGACATTGCTAAAGCTCTTAAAGACCTTTAACAAAATTTAAGAAATTACAACATTAAAGGATTAGAGTTATGGTGAAAACTAAAGATACAGATTTAGGTTATAGTCAAGATTTATAAAATATATCATATAATACCATATAGTTAGAAACAAAAGATAGAAAAAGAAAAATTTACATAATAATACCCCATTTCCAAGAGTGAAACTTAATATCTGGGATAATACTGTATACTTTTTTGCAATTTTTTAATATGATTCTTTTGGCCACTTTTGTACAGTACAGTACAGTACAATACAGTACACTTTTGTACAGTACAGTACAACGGTAGTTCATCATAGTCAGATTCCAAAATTTTGGTATATAATTCAATATTGTATTACTTTAACATCTGTATTAGTGAGAAGCTGAGATAGCGGCTTTAAATCAATTATGTGTCAATTATTTTAAGGATTTTTCACAACTTCAACTGAATTTGGTCTAACAAGTTTGCAACAGTGGAAGCATTTTTAATTTACACAGCTTTTTAATTTACTGAGCTTTTTAACAGCTCAGTATAGGGCAGCTAATGTGGTCAATTCAAAGACACCAGAAATGTTTTCTTATTTGATGGAATCTATCACAGAAATTAAACTGTAATAAAGATGTTTACAATGATGGAATCATATTTACATTGATTGGCTGCTTAGATACAACTAGTATAGGGATTAAGTTGCTGGACTGTGATGACCTATATTCAAGAGATCTCTCAAGCATAGAAGCTCACTGAATGACTTTGGGCTGGTCAGTATTTTTTTGACCCAACCTACCATGTAGAATCATAGAAGAAAACAGAAGAGTCTTGAATAACTTTCAACATCTATAAGAAAAGTATGGTTTAAAAATAAACAAATTTATTTCACTTGCCTGGGAACAGTATTGACTGAATAATATTGATCTGCCTCCTTTGTAGACATTTACAAGATTATATTGCAAGAGAAGAAATACAGAAACTAATTTTTATGAAATGTTGTTTTACTGAATTTTAGAAGGTGAGACAAGTTTGTACAACTATATCTATCTATCTATCTATCTATCTATCTATCTATCTATCTATTTATCTATCTATCATCTATCATCTAACTACACACACACACACACACACACAAACATACAGTATGCATTAATTTACTTAGATATGTGCATATTTACCAAAAACAATTTACATAAATTTTTGTTTCAGTAGCATAGCAATAGCAATAGCAATAGCACTTAGACTTATATACTGCTTTATAGTGCTTTACAGCCCTCTCTAAGCAGTTTACAGAGTCAGCTTCTTGCCCCCAACAATCTGGGTCCTCATTTTACCCGTTTTGGAAGGATGGAAGGCTGAGTTAACCTTGAGCCTGGTGAGATTCGATCTGCCAAATTGCAGGTAGCCAGCATTCAGCAGAAGTAGCCTGCAGTACTGCACTCTAACCACTGCACCACCGAGGTTCAGTATAAGGGGAAGGAGGAAGAGAAGCAGCAATTTTATATTATCTACTTTCCCTTTGTTGATAATTAGATACATTTAGACGTCCCACAATGAATGCCAACATAGAGACACTGGATTTTGAATGTTTTCTCATTGTTCCTCAGACCTTCATGAATGTTTGTATTCCCTATGGGAATATTCCATATTCCTCCCTCTCTATGGAACAGCATCCCCATGGAAATAAGATTGGCTCCCACTTTGACACTCTTTTGCAAGGCTTTTGTCAACAGGCCTGGGGAACCCAGAGTGGAATGGAGCCCATCAAGTGGCTTATTTGATTGAATGTTATCACGCGAGAGATGGGGGGATATTGCTTTTTTATTGTTTTTATATTAGATGTTTATCATTGTAAACTGATTGGAGTCATTGAGATTGAGTTGGGCAGCCATAGAAATTTTCTTAAATAAATAAAAAAGCAAGCAAGCACTCATTTGAGAATTTGTGAGAATATTTTCACTGTTTTTTTAAAAAATGTAAATCTTAACTTGAGGAACAGGTATATCTCTTATTTTCTGATACTAAACAATTTCCCGACTCTCTCCCTGCTAAAAGACTAACATATTCATTCTCAAGATAGCTTTTCTAAAATGAGAGTAGATTTTTTTTTTCATTAGCCAAGAGAGGCAAATTTCCTTTGTAATAAGCAGAAGCTCCTATATGATCAAATACCCACTCTTTAAAAATAGGAATTCAGCTAACTCAGTTTAGGTATATAGAAAAGGGGAAAATGTGCAGGACCCTTAAATCAGAATATTTACAATCCAAGGCAGCATAAAGAAATTATGTTCAAAGTGTATCATAAATCCGATTGGCATATTTAGTGCATTCCATTTCCCTGTGAATAGTGGCAGTATACCTGTAAAAGAATTGAAATGAGGAGCCAAGTAGGTTTAGTTCAATTATGCAGCCCCTTCCTACCCTGTGTGCTATTAACTTGACATGGTACTGTTTCTGAGTAGGCAACCAATCCTTAAGAGTTGCTTCATTTAAATGTTTTCCCATCATACTTGAGCTTATAAGCAATTGTCTAAGTAGCAATTCCAACTTACAGGCCTTCTGACTTTATCAATTTGGCTGTGTTCCATATATAAACTATTTTTGAAGTGGAGGAAGGAGTCTTAAACCCTAACAAATATAATTAGATGTAAAAACTAGAACTGGATATAGATACAGTACTTGTATCTAAAACAGCAATTGTTGAGTCATGCTGCATCGTCTAATTATCAGATATAATTTCTGTGATTAGGGACTTCCATTACATAATGAATGGTCGAGAAGTTAACATGTTTTTTATGAATGGGTAGTGTATTTAAAAATAAAGGAGTACTCTTTCTTCACTTCAAAAATGCTGATATTTAAATGGGTTTTTTTAAAAAAAATTCATAGAATGGACAGATGAAGATTAAAAAAACATAAATCCTTTATGCTTAAGACAATATATTTATTTACAATAGCCAATTTTATAACTCAAAGCGCAAGCAAAAAACAGGGCAGTGCTAAATTTATTTTGCTTTAAAGGGGAACCTTAGCATAAGACTTTCTTTGTTGACTCTTAGGTCCATAACTATTTACCTTGAATTATAAACCAAGATGTGGGTTAGTAATTTGTCTGCTGCTGACTTTCATCAGTCATATTCTGGAGAATTCCCTTCTCTGCAGTTCTGGTCTTCCTAATTCCTCAGAGGGAAGATTCTGCCTAGTGAATCGGGACAGACCAAACTAAAACCAAGGTATGGTAAGAGGAGCATAGTAGTTCACAAGGTTAAGATGCTGGGCTGATGATCAGCAGGTTCGTGTTTGATACCTGGTTGCTGCCACGGGATGGGGTGAGCGCCTGTCACACACTCCAGCTTCTGCCAACCCAGCTGTTTGAAAATGGGCGATTGTAATTAATGCAATAAATTAATGGGTACCACTTCAATGAGTAACTTAACAGGGATGAGAAAGGAACAGCCACCTACTAGGTAACGATGATGTTATTGTCCAATCTTTTCAACCCGGAAGCACTTTGGCTCTCCTGACATGGCTGTAGTAATAGTACTAAGGTATGGTAGAAATGGCCATGATATTACTTCCCAATACAATCAGCTCCTGCATGGGGCATGGAGAAGGGACACCATTTAATCCATTGCTTTAGGCAGTGAAGTGCCTCTTGTCAACCTTGCTCATATAAGTAAACGATGTAAAAGCATGAAACAGCTATGAAATATTTTGCTGTATGATTTGACTAGTAACTCAATTCAACTTACGGATTTGCTGCCTAAAATAAATTATATAACAGTTTATGGGAACTTTTGGCTATGTAATATTGGATGGAGAAATGTGGAGTTAGTATGTAGGGATGAGCATGTGCTGTCAAAGATGGGCATCTTGTATTGCCCTTGGAGGCAGAACATATTGTCTGTCTATTCATGTTTTTAGAAAGATGTTTAAGCTATGAAATGCTGAGGTAATTCATGTTTGAATATGATACTATTAAAATAGTTATATTTCAGTCCTCTTTTAATGTTCTATTATAACTTAGGATAATTATAATTGGGTTTTTTGTATTTTTATTCTTGTTAAAGTAAAATGACTGCAATATATCCTAAGCTAGACTTTTAAACCATTTCTGTACCAGCCCTTTCTTTTCCCATTAAATATGTGCAAATTAAAAAATACTGTGCTTAGCTGGATAAATGGCCTAGATATTAAAATATAGAACACTTTATTTTTATGAACCAACGTATTTTAACATGCAATTGTAACTTAGTATATAATTTCTTGAATCTCTTATCCTTTACAAAATTGACCATACATGTTTACTGCTACTATCCATATATGTCAACGATGCGTTACGTGTCCGTGTGGGCAAGGCGAAAGGAGCACGCGTAGCCCAGGCTTGCTGCAACTTCTTTATTAATGATGCCTTCACACGCTGCACGACAAAGCTGACGGTATACGGATACATGCAAAGTCGGCGTTGGGAGCGGCTGCCTCCCAACCCCCTTAAATAGCGCGCCGTATGGTAATTCTGACCACCGCCCTTCCGGGCTTCATGCGCATGCGCTACCGGCTGCCGTCCCGTTACGGCAGGAAGGTAAACATTACTCCCTCTCCCCGGCCGCCACCGTGACCGACCGCCTTAAATAACACCCCCACCACCGTGTAGTAACGTAGATGGTCTCCGACGCCACACACACCCCCTCAAGCCACCCCGTCTGGCCACCATCAACTGGAGCGGTTGAGTCCTCGATCCTAGCAGCGAGGTAAGGTGTCGAGTGGATCGTGACAGGTGTCGAGTGGATCGCGACAGGCGGCTCCCCCTACCAGGTGCCCTCCTGGAAGACACAAAGGAATATGTTAAGCATGCCTCAAGGCTGTAACTCTGCACCCTGAGGCCCTGGCTTATGGGGATACCGTCTATGGAACCGATTGATCAGTCGGTTAGCCTCTACATCGGTAGCGGCTACCCATGACGCTTCTTCGAAAGGATACCCTTTCCATTTAAGTAAATATTTGAGTTTTCCCCTACTAAGTTTTGCATCTAGGATTTGTTCCACCTCATACCGGTTGTCCTTTACCGGGCCGGGCCTATCTACAGGTTCTCGGACTACCTCTACGGGCTTCAAGAGACTGCTGTGGAACACAGGGTGGACTTTGCCGAGTAACGGCGGCAATTTGAGCTCCACTGTAACCGGATTAATGACCTTTATAACAGGGAAAGGGCCTAGATATTTGGGACTTAATTTACGGCTCGGTGTTCGTAGTTTCAGGTATTTGGTGGAAAGATATACCTTATCCCCGACCTCAAAGGGTTTATGGTCTGCTCTCCGTTTATTAGCTTGGCATTTTTGCATAAGGGTTGCTTTCTCTAAGGCCTTTTTTATCTGAGGCCAACCCTTCCCAATATGGCTGGCCCAGGTACCAGGAGCTGGCTGGTCTTGAGATGGCACATCGAGTTCAGGGATAGCGGAAAACTCCCTCCCAGAGACCACCTGGAACGGAGTAACCCCTGTGCTCCCATGGACTGTATTATTGTAAGCAACTTCGGCGAAAGGGAGTAGTTCCGACCAATCTGTCTGTTGGTATGAGACATAACACCGTAAGTATCGCTCTATCATAGCGTTTGCTCGTTCCGCTGCCCCATTAGTACTCGGGTGGAACCCAGAACTCAATCCTTGTGACGAACCGATCATGGTTATGAAGGTGCGCCAGAACTTTGAGGTGAACTGAACACCTCTGTCTGAAATGATACGCCGAGGCGCCCCATGTAATCGGTAAATGTGTATAAGGAACATTTTGGAGAGTTTACGGGCAGACGGTAACCCACGACATGGTATGAAGTGGGCCTGTTTCGAGAAAAGGTCTATTACAGTCCATATAACGTTGTACCCATTACTTAGTGGGAGATCCACTATGAAGTCCATAGCAACCTCCTCCCATGGTCGACTGGGGTCTGCTACTGACTGTAAAAGGCCTAGAGGTTTTCCAGGCCGGGGTTTCGTACTGGCACACACCTTACAGCTTTTTACATAGTCCTCGATCTCTTTTCTCATACGGGGCCACCAGAATTGACGTCGTACCAGATGTAGTGTTTTGATGAATCCGAAATGGCCAGCAGTTTTCACGTCATGACACTTGTGTAATATATTCAACCGCAGAGCTAGGGGAACGTATATCTTGCTTCCCATACAAGCAAAACCGTTCCTGTATGTTAACACTTGCTTATGTTCTGCTAGCCAGGGATCCGTTGCTAGAGCATTCTTTAATTCCTTCTCCCACTGGAATGGCACAGTATGGGACGTCCGGCCCACTTGTTGGACCCCCGGCATTAATGCTTGTACGACCTGTTCCCTCCTACTCTTGTACTGAGGGAGACGCGATAAAGCATCGGCCAGGAAGTTCTTACCCCCCGGGACATATTTGAGGTCAAAGTCAAAGCGTTGGAAGTATTGCGCCCATCTCACTTGCTTTGGTGACAGGCGCCTCGGGGTTTGTAGTGCTTCAAGGTTTTTATGGTCCGTCCATACCTCAAACCTTTTCCCACTGCCCTCCAATAGATGTCGCCAGGTTAGTAAAGCCCACCTAACAGCAAATGCCTCTTTTTCCCAAATAGCCCAACGCCTCTCCGTTGGGGTCAGTTTACGAGATGTGTACGCGCAAGGAACTAACCCGGTTGCTGTCGTTCGTTGCATAAGAACCGCCCCCACAGCCACATCGCTTGCATCGGCCTGTACCACGAATGGCAAAGAGGGATCTGGATGCTGCAGGATCGGAGCTTGTGAGAACAGGGTTTTCAAACCATCAAAGGCTTGTTGACATTCCGCGGACCAGACTATTACTTGACCTGGTCTTATTTTCTGGCCTGTGTCCTTTGTGCGGAGCAGGTTTGTTAATGGAAGAGCTATTTGAGCAAACGCTGGTATAAACTGGCGATAAAAATTCGCGAAACCGAGAAAGCTTTGTAATTGCTTTCGTGTTCTCGGTGCTTGCCAGTCCAGCACCGCCTGCACCTTCTTGGGATCCATTTCGACCCCATTGCCAGATATCAGATATCCCAAATAATCCAACCTTGTGCGATGGAATTCGCATTTTGACAGTTTGACGAACAGCTTCGCCTGTAACAGTTTTGCAAGTACCTGCCGTACCAATACTATATGTTCCTTCATCGTTTTGGTGTATATTAAAATGTCGTCCAAATAGACAAGAACACCGCGATAAAGAAATTCATGCAGGACCTCATTTATTACCTGCATGAAGACGGCTGGTGCCCCCTGTAACCCAAAGGGCATGACCCGAAACTTATAACTGCCCAGAGGACAGTTAAATGTGGTCTTCCATTCATCACCAGGTCTAATTCGGACTCGATAGTACGCCTCACGCAGATCTAGTTTCGTAAACACTTTACCAGTCGACAGTGTAGCCAAAAGGTCTTTCATGAGAGGCAGGGGATATAGATGTTCCACGCAAACCGCATTTAGACCCCGGAAGTCTACACACAAACGTAGCCCGCCATCCTTCTTCTCCCGGAACAAGACGGGCGCTGCCATGTGGGACCTACTGGGCTGAATGAAGCCTCTGGCCAGGTTCTTATCAATGTACCGCCTTAATTCCTCTAACTCTGGTTTTGTCATAGCGTACATGCGGGGTTTTGGCAAACGGGCACCTGGTTTCAATTCAATAGCGCAGTCTGTCGGCCGATGAGGGGGTAGTATCTCACATTCTTGTTCGTCAAAGACCGCCGACAGATCACTATATTCTACAGGGTACCCACCCGTTGGCTGTTGGTGTACAGCATCCCCAGCATTCTCTGCTCTCCTGCTTAATTCCTCTGGGACTGGATCAGGGCCAAGTCCCAGTCGTAATCTCCGATAACCGCCCTCCCACCAAATAGTCGGTCTCCACTTGTCTAGCCATGCTAGGCCAAGGATAAGGGGCTCTACCATAGTATCAACAACCACAAAGCGAATCTTTTCCCAATGGTCTCCCACCTCCAGCCGGACCGGTTCGGTTACCTGGGTAGCTGGCCTACCCCCCAACAATGATCCATCCATCTGTTCAAACCGTATGGGGACCCTTAAGGGGACCATTCGTAAACCCAGTTCCAGAGCTATAGATTTCCGCAATAAACAGCGGGTACACCCGGAATCAACAAGGGCATGCTGTGCCACCCTTCTTGCTGTCTGTAAGTGTTGTAAGACCACAGGTATCACAAAAGGTCGTATTGGGCCACTCACCATGGGGTCACCAGCTGCATCGGCGACCCAGTCTGCCGCCTCGCCCGACAGAACAGTGGTGATGGCTACCACCATAGACCATTGCGACGGGAAGAGATGACCGTATAAGTCCATATAACTGAGTATCTGACTCAAAAACAATGAAACCCTATCTGGACTGCCGCCGAAGGTAGCTTGTAGGGGAGGAGGGCCCCACAGCTGCTGCTGGTTGTGCCATGGGCCAGGACCCCACCCGGTATATGCCATATACTCACTCACTCACTCACTCACTCACTCACTCACTCACTCACTAAACTATGTTGAAATACAATTTCTGCTATCACCCCAGGAATGGACATTGGTGGTGCTGACTAGATGATGGCAGTTGTTCTCTAACAGATAAAGAGGCATTAGGCTAGAAAATATTTGCCCAAACCTCTAAAGTTTCCCCAAGTTTGTACAACTGACTAGGCTAAATTACAATTTGTTAGATTATAGCTGGGTGTATTGTGCAAATCCAGGTAATTGGGTAAATTCAGTAAACCATGATTCAGCTAATTACAACCAAGCAGATTTCCAAAGACTACCAATTTCTGTGTGGAGGAAGTCAGTTCTTCCATATTCACACCTGGAAAAACAGTAAATTGAAATACCTGTTGAGTAAGAGCAGAAACTCACGGTCTCCATATTGTGTTAAATGTCAATCACATTAAAGGGATGACTGCTTAATAGTTTTGAATTCTTAAAAATTCATTAAATAATAGGTATCAGCTGCTTCTACCACTATGGTAATGAATATATTTGCATCTGATTAAACCAGAGGGGGGTTCATTCAGCCAGCCTTGTTAATGCACATCAAGTTTCTCTCCTGAAAATTTGGTTGAACAGGCTTGGAGATAAAAATATAACATTACAGATGAAATTCAACAGCCTGTCAGCATTATTTTCAATGAAAAAAGA